TCTATGAGCTCACTTTTTATTCTGTAACTTCGCTGGAATTCAAGGGGCATGACTTCATTGTTAGACAACACGAAGACCACGTCTCTTTGAGGCTCTAAAAGACTCATTTCCAGAAAAAAAACAGGATTTGAAGTTTTCTCTGTCAGGGACCAAGGAGAAAAGCCGTCAGAATGAAACTTCCCAGCAAGGAACCGAGAATGAGGTTAAGGTCGCCGAGAAAGGGGGCGTGGCACGAACGGGAATGGGGCGTGGCCTCCTGTGAGAAGGGCGTGGCCTCCAGGGAAAAGGCGGTGCCTCTGTGAGAGGTTGACTTCCAGGACTCTATTCTACCCTTACTTAAAACCTTGCAGTGGCTGTTTCCTAAGGGTCAAGTTAGATTTCTTGGCATCATGAAACAGGCTCTTCCCACCCCTTCTCACGGTTCCTTTCCTAGCTGCCCCTGCGGCACTGCTGTGTTATTTCTGGTGTGAAGACTGTGCCGTGCTGTCTTGCCACTTTGTAGATTCTCCTGGATTCCAGCATTAAGCTCTACCCCACCTCTCAATTTCCTATTTCCAATTCTTCCACAAAGAATCAAACCAAGCATAGCCTATATGTGGAATTCAGCAGACTAAGGGGCAAGAAGCAACTTTGTATTGTAAAGCAGGGGTCCCCAACCTTTTTGGCACCAGGGACCAGTTTCAAGGAAGACAACTTTTTCCAGGGACAGGGGTGCGGGTGGGAGAGGCAGAGCTCAGGCAGTGAGACCAGTGATGGGCAGGGGACTTGGCATTAGTTTCGTATGGTAACTTGGACCATGGCAAGTACTGAAGCCATGTTGGAACCAGCTCCCTGGGCGTTCAAAGCCAGGATGAAAAATCCTCCAAGGTCTCCGCTCAAGAGAGTAAAGCAGGCCACCTTAACCCAAAACGACGCCATCATCCGTTCAGCCATGAGGTGCCATCAGTCCAAGAGCAAGCTGCCAGCTACTTCCGCGCACTCAGAGCAGCCTCAACTGTCAGGCTCTTTACCTGTTACCATCATTCCAACCAGGACTTGCCCTTCATCCCCTCAGTCAGACAAGAAAATACAACACAAACAATCTAACACTCTGCTGGACATTCCAAGAGTGACAGCTGGAATCTGCAGCCAGGCCGGGGCTGACTGTACTGCTTTTGGCGCTTCTGGAGGCAGGTGGCTTCTCTCACTTACTCACCAAGTGGACATACACAGTCCTGAGTGATCCAGGATCTGCACAGATCAAGTACTGTCACCAGTAAAACTTCCAGTTTTTTTTTTTTTTTTTTCGGAAGTCTGGCTCAAGGGATCCTCCTGCCTCAGCCTCCCAAGTAGCTGAGACTACAGGTGCACACCATGATGCCCGGCCAATTTTTCTATTTATAGTAGAGACGGGGTCTCACTGTTGCTCAGCCTGGGTCTCGGAACTCCTGAGCTCAAGCAATCCTCCCACCTCAGCCTTCAAAAGTGTTAGATCACAGGCGTTAGCCACCACACCCTGCCAAAGCTTCGTCTGTATTGACAGCTGCTCCCCATCACTGGTCTCACTGCCTGAGCTCTGCCTCTCCCACCCGCACCCCTGTCCCTGGAAAAAGTTGTCTTCCTTGAAACTGGTCCCTGGTGCCAAAAAG